GGCGTCTGAACACAGAGACTGGGAGAGGGCAAGCGAGAAGTCCCTTAGGCGGAACAGCACGCCACAATCCCTTCACCTCCACTCTCCTCCTGGACTCTTGGGCCCATGTGCACACACGCCTGGTGTGATTTCAAGCACTGAGTCTGGGACTCAAACCATGGTTGGCCATGTAGGAGTCCAGCACCTTACCCACCCCACTACCCACTGGCCCCCGCTTTAAACTTGGTGAATAGCAACTTCCAGTTGCCGCTCGGATGACAGAATTGTCAAGTGTTCTGATCTTTTGTTTTGGTGTTTGTTTTATGTTTTTTTTTAAGTTAGTTTTTGTTTGCTTATTTTTGGTTTTGGTTGTTGTTCCTTTAACACTGAGGGTGCAGCCACACACACGCTGCAGAGAGAGGGCCTGGCCGCCCCTTCCTTCAGGTCACCATCCGCTCGGAATCCACACGCTCACTGGACCTGGATGTTTTTCGAGCTGCCATAGCTGGAACTCAAACCCTGGTCGGCCGCAGGCGTCCGGCTACTTCTGTGCAGACCTCACCCTCGTGGCTCCGTGTGGCCCTAATGCTGCGGGGACCATTGCATTTGCAAGCCACCATGGGCTTATAGCCACAGTGGGACACAGAAACCAGCTCCCTGCTGAGACAAGGACTCAACCGTGATTCACGCCTGGAGCGAGCTGTGCGGGCCAGTGCCACGGCTGGGAGCCTCCAGACCAGCCTTCGAAAGGGTGCATATCTCATCACCCGCAGGTGACCTCGGGGCTCAGATCGTGTCGGTGAGTAAGTCACCGCAGAGATGGGGTACGCAGTGATGGAGCCCCAGGCCTTGAGAGCCCCTGAGAGGACCCGCCACTCTCGGGTGTGATCCCTGCAGGGCTAGGCTCAGCATCGCCCAGCCAGAGCATGTCCCAGGGCCGCTGCCTGCAGAGCATGCTTGGACACCGACCCTGGTCACAGCCATCCCTAGGGCTTCATTTTGTTTTGCTTTTTGAGGACAAAAAAAAGGACATTTCTCTGAGAGTTCAAAGAAATGCTGAAGATTTGGTGCCAATGGGAAACCCCAGAGTCTGAATTGTGGCCGGTGACAGCCATCTGAGGGATGGACGGCTGACGGCCAGATGTCGTGCGTTCTGGCGAGGACACCGGCGTCCCCCACAAGGACGTGCAGGAGAGGCAGCCAGCATGGACCTCTCCACTGCACTGTCCCTGAGGCAGCTCGCAGTTCCAGCTAGTCCCCCCGAGAAGCACCGAGGCCACGACGCCATCGACACCCAGGTCTGCCTGGAGCGTCTGCTCCGCCGCTCCATGGAAGGCAGAGGTGTCACCACATCCAGCTCTGGCCACCCAGCCTGCACGCCCCACATCTGCCAGCACCGTGGCCATGCCCACAACACGGGCCTCGAAGACCCCGCAGTCTCACGTCAGTCCAAGACGGCACGCACACGCTCAGCTCGGACCTCGGGGAGAAGAGGAGCCACCAGGTGCCAGCCTGAGGAGCAGGGACGAGAGAAAAGACCGGCACGTCCCTGTCCCCGTGGTCCCCCCTACAGACCTGCCTCCGTGGTCCCCGCCTACAGACCTTCCCTGACAATGAGCGGAACCGCTGTGTGTGCGCTTACTGTCGGCACTCAGTTCTAGAATAAGAACCGCTGGTAATCAGCCTTCACAGGACTCCTGCCACTGACGCACAGGGCGGTAGAGACGCACAACATGGGGGCCTGGGCTGGAGGGACAGGCAGGTCCCCTTGGCTTTGACACGAGGTGAGGGCAGACCCAGCGTCACTGAGGAATGACAACATGAAGCGTATCGCCTTC